TGTTATAGCTTGACGGTAGTGGTCTGCAGTGTCGTCCCTTAACTCGACGTGCACCTCATTAACGATTTTCGGAAATATTGCCCAAACGATTTGCGTAAGACAAAATCTTTATACATGCGTGAACACCGTTTTACGATGAACCGTAACGTTCTACTTGAATCCGTTTCCAAAACTGTGTCTTGATGTGGCTTGAGGGGGACAAAACGATCGTCACGTAATTTAACTTCAGATACGCCACTGTTCGCTTTATCGATATAATACGGCTTCCACGTATTACGGACCGTATCGCAGTAGGCTCCGAAGGATTGGAAAAAAAAAAAATACGTCAATCGGGTTTTTAAAATAATTATTTTTTAAGAATCCATAATGTCGTGACACCGTAAATCATTATCTCCCCATCACGTCTTAGAGCTTAGTATAAAATATCTGTATGTATAAGTATATATTGATGCGGTTCTGGTGTAAAAACATCGTTTTACAAAGCGTAAATGTTTTATTTTTATTTTTTTATATTCGTGTTCATGGCTTACTTTCCAAACAGCCCTCGTGGTATGCTGTAGCACAAACAAAAACTGTGTACACGATTAGATTCGAAAGTCAATTTAGTCGATAACGGAGGCATGTGCACTGCTCTTAATGTAGTAGTTAATCAAATATACGGGTGGTTATCGTTGGGAGGAGAAGGTATCGTGTCAGAAATATTTGGAATACGAATGATATTATTTTCAAACGGTGTTTGTCAAACCCACTCGGAAACCGTTATTGTATTTCCGCTCGTTTACAGATGCGCACAGCCAGACGGTATAAACGATTTTCAACACGTCTCGTATGTGCACGACCTCGCGCGAATCCGTGCGCGAAAATAGAATAAAGTTACTCCGCGTGCTCTCGTGGACCTGTGTATATTAATGAACGGAACTGTAACGAATATTTTTTGCGGTCCTACCCAGCAGCAGAAAACTTTTCATGTTTACAAACGTCCGCGACCGTCTGATTGTTTTCGTTTACGGTTTAGTTTTGTAGAAACGCGGCGGTAAAAAATACCGCACAGACGTTTTAATAGTCCGCCAGCGTTGGGCTTCAACTGTTTTTTGTCTCGACGACGTCCTTATACGTTGTTTACATACGGCAAGTACTGTTACTCGTGTACAACGTTATTTATCCGGTAACGATAGACGTTTCGATCACACGAACAACGTGGATAAAAATTACAAGTGGCACCGCAGTCATTTTTTATCGATCGAGCGGTTCGTTTCGTATACGCGTTACACGTGGTGAACATATTCCGTCAACCATCATCGAGTCGTCGTGTTCGTAACATCGGGTAGAGAATATGCATTTGTTGGTATCCGTATGACGGTGAAAATATGCGGTTAAAAAACCCGACCGGTGTATTATAGGTGCCTACTTGGCGCATTAATTATAAAATAATACATCCAGATAGATTTTCAGAATATCTACGATTGATGTAACAATGTTTCACAGTGCCAACAACAAGATTCGAAACCGGTCAAAACTAGTACTAATAATAAATATCGAAAATAATAATTACTTGAGAATGTTATAATAAGTATTTTTTTTTTTTTTTAAACAATCTCTTTCTTTTTACCTATTGGATGCATCGTGTAACGCGTACACGGACGGTTACTAGATAAAAAATAAATGAGTGACGAATTTAACATTGTGTCCATAGGTACATTTATTTAAATAACGAGCAGGAGTTTAAAGAGTAAAAATGTGTACAGGAAATTCGGTCTTTTACACGATTTGAAATAAATTGCGTTTATTCCCGCGCGGCGCAATGTCAAAACCGCGAAGTTACCCACAGAGTTGTTTAAGCATCGTATATACATATGTATACAATATAAATGCGCACAATACGATAAAACGTGTCGTGTGTGTACACGTTTCGTGCGAGCAAATTTGATTTGATTTTAAATTTCGAAAGGAAAGTGGACGGGCAAAAACCATTGAGTACCTGTGGTTACGTCGTATGAATGGATCAATGGGAAAAAATACTTTGTCCGCCTACACACGCGTAATCCTACACGAACATGCAACGGCGCATTAATAATTGAAACATTTAGGCAATATGCGTTTTTTCTGCGAAAATGTTAAGTCAGCAGACGCAGAAATATTGCCGTGCACAATGACGAGTGCAAACAATAGGCGAGAACTAGGACCATAACAGCGATGTCGTAAAAAACCATATTCTTTTGTTTCGCGAAACGGACGCGTCAAGGGGTGACTGTGGTTTTCTCGTCTCAACCCCGATTCGTTGTTCGTATTCGGGTTTTTTTCCGCGACGCGTACACCGCACACGGTCGTCGATAATGTAATTCAATTGCTACTATTATTATTGTTATTATTATTATCACAGTCGTCAACCGAAATCCTGCCGGTATACTTGTATGACTTATCGATCGAATCACAATAATTTGTCCAGAAACGTATGTGTAAGCGATCAGAATTGCTTTGTTTTTTTTTTTGTTCACCATCGGTATTTACGAATTTTTGTAGTCGAAAATGCATCGAGAGAAACGATTTCGTGGAACACACGTAATTATTAAATCGTTTCCGTTACATCCAGTTAAAATACGCAACGTTTATGTCCGGTAACGACGGCGTAACTTCAAAAACACTTTACTGTAAATCCGTGATCAGGGGCAACTGACGTTTGTAAATATAAATACACGATAACGTTTCTGTCGACTGCGATGACATCGACGTTTTAGATTGGAGTTCACGTGTACTGTGTACTCGGGCTTTAGTAAGTGTCGAGGTCCTACGTCGATGTTCGTTCGGTGGTTTTCTTCGGCTTTCCAGAGGAAGAATTGACCGCTTTGAACATCCTAACGGTACTATTCAACACATCCCGTACGTGTTAATAGAGTATTTTTATTAAATATTTCCCAGTGCGCCCCGTCGAGTCCTCGAAACGATTAGCGATCGACGGTGAAAATGTCCTGTCTCGCGTTGGCCTCGGTTGCAGTGGCCGAACAGACATACATATATGGTATTTGCGCGCACTGTTTTCGTGAAAAATAATAAATTCCAATTACGACCCGCGTTATTTCATTACATTATTATGGCGTTCGAATGTTGACTTTGAAAGGTGCGGCGAACACCCCCCCACCGGTTGGATCTTTTGTGACTTACCGCATGCGTCACGGGCATCGGCCCCTTCGAAACGTATTACGCGCACGTTCAAACCGTACGGATACACAGAGGCCCGGTTTAATGATAAAAAATAAATAGCGAATATTGTTTACTCTCATACTGATCGTGTGCACCACAACAAAGCCGTCAGGACACCGCTTCCCGTACGGTGTACATTAGACGTGTTTATTTTCAGTTAGGCGCCCTGTACAAACACGTACGGCGCACGAACGAAAAAACCCGGTGTATTCCGAATTTAATAGGGAGTTTTTTTTTTTTTTTTTGTACCAAACACAATATTATTATTAATAAATATATATTTTTACGGTAAATGCGTAATGTGTACGCGCGCGCACGCACGCAAATGTAAAACCGAGTTTTAATAATGTGTCAGTGTACGTATATGGTGGGTGTACGTGCGGGGGAAAAGAAACGGAATAAGTTAAAAAAACAACCACAGACTTTTGTTGACTTATTTTTTTATTATTTTCTTTACCGAAGTGGGTACGTATAAAAGTGCATAACAATATTGGAACAAATGTTGGGTTCGTTTTTCTAATACCCTTTCCTTGCCCCGTACCCCAACTTCTATGTATGCGTTTCGCCGTGTCTCATTCGCGGCACGTACCGCCGTCGTTGTCCGCGCAAAGGGGTCGAAAAACTTTACCGAACTCCATACAACTCACCCCGTACTAACGCTATTCTAGAAACGTCTTTGATGTGTCGAAAACCTTTGGCACTAGCGATCGGCGTCAAATCGGCAGAAACATCAATGACACACGCGCACACGCAATAATTGCGTTCAAAGCGGATGCAAAGACGTGTACGATACGACGGAAACGTTTTACGAGTTGTACGTTCGTAAATCGAACGAGGTCATCTACGAGAGACGAAAAAAATAAACGAAAATCGAATACTGTAGTAGTAATACATGTTTATATTAATATTCATATTTTTATTTTAGTACAAAAAATAATACTAAATCATCGTATTTATTATACGTTCATATATATATATATATTACGAGTCTACAAGCTATTTGATGTACACATATATATTTAGATCGGATTTGTATGTATAAACCATAAACGAAACAATTAAAACTCTTCGCGTGGTTGAAAATATACACGAAACGCGATGTATATGATAACGGACGATTTTATGCGCCAATGGAAAAAATACGTTTTATAATCTACTACTGGTACAGCTTCATTTGATAGTTTTTGACTAATTATTATTTTTACTTTACTAATTTACAATAAATAATAAAATACGTATTCTAATTACACGGCAATATATATATTAAAGTCGTATTATTTCGTGTAACTAAGCATATCGTACAAACACAGTCTAAACGTCGAATTAAAAAATACATACATAATAATAATAAATATATGTACACATAATACTAGGTCTACATTTAAGAAACGTTCACTTAACAAAATAATAATAATAAATAAACAAACACGAAAAAACAGATAAATAATAATAATAATAATAATAATAATAATTATAATAATGACAATAATTCGTCGTCAGCGTAATTTGTTCACAGTCGCAACGAAACGAGGTAAAGAAAAAAAAAATAATAAAATACGTAATAATCTTAAAACAGATTCTAAATATGACTTATCCAATTCGATCGAACGTTTTTTCTTCTCAAGTCGAGAGGAATGGATGAAAACGTTACAACTTAAATTACTAATTATATTATTAGATAATATTATAGTTTCACATTACTAAAAATATTATACTTTTATTGCACTTTTTAGTGGTCGTCTTGTTTTTCTGTTTAACACGCGTATAATAACATTACGGTTAAACTTAAACCGTGTTATTAGATTAAATTAATACTGTTTTTTTTTTTTTTTCATTTTTGTTTCCTGTTTTTTTCGTCCTATTTTGCGGTGCAATGGCGGGCGGCGGACGGACGACGATGATGACGAGAGCAGAGGAGGGCACGACGACGGTCGCCACTGCACAGTACGCTATTACCAAGACCAATATAGACCAATAGTGGAGTCGGACGACAGCAAAAGTAAGAAGTAGTACTAGTAGCGTAGCAGCTATCGGTGGTGTGCGCGTACAGGAGGTGTTCTGATATACTTAAATACATGTAATCGTTACGAATCGGAGTGTCGGCGGAGTCGCGAACGACCCGAAGGCTTCAAGGGTGGAACGCCGTAGAGAGATGTGATCGTTGTTTGTTCTTTGGATTTTAGGCGCTCCTCTGCAGCTTGTGTCAGTTGCTGTTGTACCACATGGTCAGGGGCGGCAGGTTTTTCGTAGCAGCAGCGGCGGCGGCGGCAGCGG